AGAGAAGAAGTTCATGTGCTGGGAAGGGTGAATGAGATCGAAGGTCACGGTCTAGATATCGAAGATGAATTAAGCATGGATGAGCCTCAGTGTTCTGAAATGGAAATGTTGGAAATGGAAACTGCCGAGCCCGAAATACCTAGGGTCGATAGCGGGAAGGGAAAGGATAAAACTGAAGTTGTAGATTTTAGTTCCAAGAAAGGTGAGGAAGGAAGCCATGGAAATGTGGTTTTCTCGAGGGAATCCCCTCTTGTTACCAAGGATGATTTCAGCATGAGCTCTTGCAGCTGTGGTGCTGAGAAACTGAAATCCAGATTGGCTGCTTCTGAATCTGAGCCTGGGAAAAATGGTAGAAAGCTCAGCCGACAGGATAGGATTGAGTTGGGTAGGTTGTTTCAGGGTGCTGTGAGTACTCACGATTGGGAACTTGCTGAGAGCTTGATCTCGGTGGCCGATCCTCAGACTCTAAATGACGCCTTGTGCATTTCGTTGGACTCGATTTGGTTCTTGAGCTCACAGCAGGAGTTGCAAGGGATTACGGGATTGATCAAGAAGATCATAGCCAATGGGGCATATGATTTCACCCGAGCTGCACTCAGAACCTCATTTCTTGCTTCATGTGTTTCTGCTTGTCAGAGTCGAACAATGAGCCTTGCCGACACTGTCACCGTGATGGCGCAAAGGTAGTTTAATTAGTTTTTGAATCTCAATTTTTTGTACTGCTCAAGTAAGGTTCTTCGCACTGACTCCTTAATTCTGTATGTTATCCCATGAGAATATTGACCGTTCCCTAATCAGTGTGGTTGTTCATCACGATATTCTTTGATCTGGAAAATGGTAAAACTGACTTTTAGGCAGAGAGTGATGGTTTCAACTTTCTAATTTGATTATATAGATTTTTCATTGTTATGAAAACTTATTTGATTGTTCGCAGTGGCGAGATTGAATTGGTCTTCCTATACTTTCACAATCTCATGTTATTTATTGCAACAGTAAGATTCACATGGTAGTTCGTATGAGCTGAAAAAGTCTGCATGATGTGAATATATTGTGGTTGAGATCTTGGCTGTTGCTCTGGTTGAGATCTTGGCTGTTGCGTAAGTTTCAGGTAGACATTTTTAGCTTATGTCTCATAATTCTCGCTTTTCAGGTTACACGAGAGGCTTAAGGAATGCAATGGAGATGAGGTCTTGAAGGCAGAGGCCGGTTCCAAGGTTCAGAAGTTTACTGAGTGGGCCCTTAAGTGTATAAGTTTCCATTCCCGCTGCCAGGGAAATAGTGACAGAGTTGGCCACAATTCCCCTGTCGAGATCGAACTCCAACTATTAGCCTTCAAGACTTTCCTAGATCTCGCTGGCGATCATCTTACTGGGAAGGATTTCACCGAGGCATTTGATGCAGCTTGTTTCCCTCTCACTCTATTCTCCAGCTCATTCGATCCCGGTTGGGCCTCAGGTATATCAGCTACTGCTATCCAGGGACTGTTGGGCATGCTGGTCGAAGGGGGTGCAGACAATGTTAACCAATGTTTTCTCGAGGCTTCACGTTTCGGGAGTACAGAACTTGTTCGTATTCTCTTGCAGGTAAAATCTCATTTTCACATGCCGCCCGCCTGTAAGCAACATTTCATGTCCAGTTATAAATTATTATTATTATTATTATTATTATTATTATTATTATTATTATTATTATTATTTCAGATTGCTCAGAGGAACAGCCTAGACGTGGACGTGGACTTAGCCCTTGGCTTCGCATCACACTACGGAAAACTCGGCACAATGGAGTGCCTGGTGGAAGAGGGCAATGCTGCAGCCTTCCTTGGCCCGTTGATGCGCGCTGCCGAGCGCGGCTGCCTCCCCGTCGTGCGTTGGTTCGTCGGCCGTGGCTGCCGCGACATGGAGCTCTGTCTCGCCCTCACGGCCGCAACCTCCAGCAGCCAGGTGGCGGCGGCTGCCTTCC